TCTAAACTATCTAGCAAACCGTAAACCTCCTCAAAAGGAGTTTACGGTCAGGAAGCTTAGAGCTTACAGTCATGGTGACCGTAAACTCCCTATATACACATAATTCATGATCATTTTGATCATTCCTTTCCTTTCTAAGCCAAAAATCTCGAAACTCTCTCAAGTATCATCCAACTTTTCTCTTAGATCTTCAAGATTGTAAGTATTTCTTCTCTTGATTTGTGGATATCCTTCAATATCTAGTGATTATACATGATTTCATCCATGAAATCTCGTCATTTTGATAGATCTTCAAGTGTTCTTCATTTCACCAAGAACACACACTAGTGTTCTTGGATCCTAATCATCCTTACAAGCTTCTAATCAATAAGTACACTACCCTTAGCTTGTTATATGCTTGAATCACTAGTTAATCACCTTGAAAACATCATTTTTAGCCAAGAACAAGGTGTTTTACGGTCTAAGTATATCTCCTTAGACCGTAAACTCTAATGAAAGGTGCATTAGAGGCCTTAAACCCTTCCTAAGGCTAAGCAATGTCCCTAAAATCCGATGCCTTAGGATGAAGCCCTTGAAAAACCATCTTTTGTGCAAGAAATGATGAGTTTACGGTTGAATCTCCTTAGACCGTAAACCTTATGACCGTAAGGTCATAGGACCGTAAACACATGGGACCGTACACCTATTTGAACCGTGAACTCCTTGACCGTAAGGTCATTGGACCGTGAACTCTAATGGTCATACCATTTTGACCGTAAACTCACTTGGTCATGTCATTAAGACCGTAAACTCTTTAGGGTGTTATCCCTTATAATTAGTTGTTTAAACACTAATTGTAAACATATATGTGTCATTATATGCTAATAGGATCCGTGTGTGCTCAAGCCTTCACTTGACACCTAGCATCCTTTATCGATCTTACATTCGAGTTACTCACTACAGGTGAGTTCATAACCCCTTAATCAACCTTTTAAATGATTTTAAATGCTTTTATGGGGGGAATACAAGTTGAACTATTATAGTTATTATATCAATCACATGTGATTAATAACTACCAAACAAGTGGATTTCTTACTTTTCAAACAGTGTTATCAAACAAACTACTTCAAATCGTTTTATAAACTCTTTTACATGTTAAATACTTTTTATTAAACTCTTTTAAACTTATATTTTGTCAAATGCATATCTATATAGATATAGTTATATAAGTAGGATTGAAAGGACTTAGGACTGATAGCTCACCTTACTTCTTGTTCCTTGTTTGGTTGTGGACTTAGGGTATCGGTTGTTTGTCCGAAGGTCGTTTGAATCTTAGTTATATATTATGTATATGTATATAGATATAAAAGTTCCTTAATTCAGTTCAATACCTTTGGGTAGCAAAGGTATACAAACATGTTCATTCATACAAACAACATTGCTAGTAAACTATAATAGGTATAGTTTAGGAAGTTACTAATACTATTACTAGAACAACGAATCATACAAAGAGTCAGTTCATACATGAGTCAATACATACTATTATGAGAAACTAAGAGAACATACTATTATGAGAAACAATACATACTATACACTATACAAGAGAACATACTATGATGAGAAACAAAGAGAACATACTACATACTAGACAGAGAGAACATACATTACACTAGTACATACAAAACATATACAAGAATACTATAACATAAATGTGAGCCACAGTTTCGGGGCATGGCATCACCTGTCATGGCTCGTTTTGTATCGAGAGTCTCCAAAAGGAGAGCGTGAATTTGTGTATAAATCTATACTGGATTGACTATCCTACACCTTGCTGCTCGCTACAGTGGGACTTGCAAGTCTACAGGTGCCAAATGTCATTTCTTCCGACATCTTTTATCGTCGTGTTTTTAGTCGATAGTATGGTACAATCATAGCACATTATACCTTAAATAACAATTGGTTTAAGGTAGTTGGTACAGCAGTAGTTACTATAATACAACACTACAATACTTTATTATTTCCCCATTGCATTCACATTGTGATCTTTTCATATAAAAGGTAATGTAAAACTATATTTTTGGTTAATGATAGTCACACTTGGGAAAATACACACTCTTACAAGAAACAAACATACATAACATTTGATGCCTTGGTAGAAGGCTACGTTTAGTAGAAAATATAAGATTTTCTAGGAGATACAAACATTTAATACAAACATTTACTACAAACATTTACAAACTTATACATCAAATACTTACAAACATTTTCATACAAACAATGACACTAAAATGCTTATGAACTCACCAGCTTTAAAGCTGATAAACTCTTTCAAAATAACGTGTATTCTTAGGTCATCAGTAGACAGGTACCGATGCCAGGTTTTGAGAAGATGGAGCTCATTCAAGACTCATCTCTTATTTTGATTTACATTTTTGGTGTCTTATAAACTTCACAGAACACACTTGTATTAAATTATATTATTAATGAAATGGATGATGTTGCTGCTTGTTTACTACTATGCTTTGTTGTGATACTGTACATGACGTCCTCCGCCCCCGAACGTTTCCGCCGTTCAGGTTTTGGGGTGTGACAATTAGTGCATAACATCAACTTAGATTACAAGTTACACAAGAGTTGAGTACATGAGGTCAAAATTTCCTAGCCAAAAACGCTAGTTGTGACACCAACTTATGTACAAGTCTGCTATCCTGCTAACAAAATTATATAAAACTATAAATAAACATAAATTATACATATAAAAGATCTTAAAATATATAAGTAACCATACATCGTCGACTTTTATAAACTGGTTGCAGTGAGTCTTTTGTAAGGCCCTTAGTTTCAACCATGCAACAGCTCGATAGATCACATTCTCTTGTCGGGTACCAAACAAACTGCTCACATGAAAAGTTTCAAGAACCCATATCTGAAAAAATCATTAATTAGAATGTTAGCAAAAAATATAATAAATTGTTAATCATGTAATTACCTTGAAAACATATAAAAAGTCGTTTAGGGTGTAGGTCATTTTTTGAGGTTGTTTCTCTTTCGGTTCCACTAGATGTATATGCTTTTCAACCTTATTGAATACAGTAATTAGCCCTGAGTACAATTGATCCTAAATTACCCTCCCCCATGAATATCTGCGACATAAAAATAATTTCCAATTAAATTTATGAAAAATATTAGTAATGATAATTGATTACCCTTAATTACAATCCATAATTAATTAACAACATGATACTTGTTGAATTCATCAAAGTCGGATACCAAAGCCAAATACTCCTCTATAACATGTTGTTTATCCAACCGCTCATTGAACCCCTTATACACGGACCGCATCATCGTCCGATAAGCTGTTAAGTGAATGCTCAAACATCTTCTTCATATCGTCTAAATTGAAGGTGACATTCCTCGCGACCATAGGAAACACACGGGAACGGAAGGCGGCACCAGAACCAAACGCATGAAAATAATCTCCAAAACAGAAGCCGATAACAAGACAAAGTTCTTTTTTCCCGAAAGACAGCTAGTAACCCCTAATCTCAAAAACCATTTCTTCTGCTTCGCTTCGGGGGTCCGTGACAACTTCGTGGCAAAAGACATAATGTAGAAGCAAATGATCCACATCTACATTAGGAATGTCTAACCACCTACCAAAACATGAATTCCAGAACATAATCTCGCATGTCGGTCTGTCTTTGAATGCCTCAAGAATTTTCCCGCCGAGTTTGGGTTTACAAGACAGTGTAATGGGTGCATCAAAAAACCAGTCGTGTTGCACAAATAAAAAAGTTTTTATAACCCAACTTCGGAATGAAAAATGACCAATATTTTGGACCAATATTCGGAACCAATACGAACCAGTTTCTCGTGTTCCGGACATGTTCGTCGTGTTTCGGACTAGTTCATCGCATTTCAAAGCATTCCAGAGCGTTTTAGAATGAAATTTTATATTCCAGAACACTACATTTCGATTTAAACTAACATTACCTAAACATCTAAACTAATTTTGGGTTGGTCCAACTGCAATGACATCTTTAATTAAATAGTTCAAAATGTTTTCAATTCATTCCGGGGGTGTTCTACACATTTTGGAACAATAGTTCTTGGTGAATAATGACGTTATACAATCAAGCAAACTAAGTTTTTGGAGTGAAGAAAGTATCCGTAAAATAATTGGGTCGTAGTGGTCGTCTTCCATATTAGAGATCGAAATCGGAATTGTGTCGGAAAGTCGGAGCAAGATCCGAAATGAAGTTAGGGGTCTGGATGTTTTCAAAATATATTTCGGATTTTGAAATTCAAATTTCCGATCTGAAACACGTACGGAAGTTTCGGGATAGACATTTCGGAAGCATCGAAATGGGTCGTCCCACCCGAAAACGAGTCTGAAATACGTTCCGGAACAACCCATTCCGGAGAATATGGTTATTTTGAAAAAAAACAGGTTATATTTTTTTAAACACACATAAAAATGGTTAGTTTACTCAATTTCTCATAATTTTTTTTGGTATATATTGTTTACGTTTGAGAAATTAAATATTTTTCTATCTATTTTTTCTATTTATCTTCCTAACCATATGAAATGTTAACATATATCATATTTAGATAAGATTTATATTATTTTAATACATTTGTCAACACTTCAAATGAATAAAAAGATGCGTAACAAATTTCACTAAATGACCACTTAGGGTGATAACATACTCAAGCAAAGAAAATCAACCCTTACACTGAAAATATAGACTTAAACTTAAACTGAAAATATAGACTATCATAATAGACTTGTCAACATTTCGAAATAATTTTACCCTCATGAACATTGGAAAACAAGATACCATTACAATTTATAAATCTTTCGAAACCCTATTTAAAAATTACACATTAACTTTGAAAAAAAAACATTAATTTTCAAATAACCTTTTTTATTGTAAAGCATTTTTTCGAAAATGAACATTTTCCAAATAACCATGGAATATTTATTTTCATATTTGATGGTTATTATTGCGATATATTTTCCCTTTTGTTGTTACGAGGCAAGTTGATGAGTAGAGGTACGTTTTGTCTAAGTAAATATTAATAATAATTTATTAATAGCTTCTTATTATAACTTGAGGGGAATCATGCGCGCCAAATGTGTTCGTTTTTTTTCTCTTGTCAGCAAAAACTTCATCTGATAAAAGTCAAAACATTAGTCAACAGAGGTTCTAGACTTGTGGAAAAATGTTTGAATTTTATTATTACCTTAAGTACCAGTTTGACCAAAAACATGGTTGAATTGAAACAACTTTTTTCCATCTTTATGATGTTTTAAAGGATCTAAAACCACTAATGACCCATCTTCTCCAATGTAATCAATCACGTTCTTTGTGTCGAGAAACTCGTGATCAAAAGGTGAAAATATGTACGAAATTCATTACATAGCAAGGCCATTTGAGCTAGAGGTTCAGATGCAGCCTACAATATATTGGTAAAAAAATAATAAAGATTTTATAAACTGTTGTTTTTCTTTAAAATTATTTCATGGAAACTAATTACATGCACATCTCCACGTTCCCGAAGTTGGTTTGTAACAAAGTTGACCACATCCGAGCCGAAGGTAATAAAATTTTGATAAAATAATGAAGTCATAAAAAAAGAAAGGTAAGATAGATTGAACCTTTTAACGTAGTCCCATAAGCCAACAGTTGCTAACAATACAAAATCTGCTTCAGACCCAAGTGTAACTTGAAAAATATCAGGAGTAGCAATAACCAAATCCCCAAAGAACCGTATGCTGCACCAGATCATAACCCCAATTTTATAATTTATACACAGCACAACACAACAGTGGGCAAAGGGTATTTCAGTCATTTACATAAATAAGAGAATGCCTACCGAGATACGATTTTTTCAGACCATCTGCCATCGGCAACTTCTCAAGCCATTCTGTACCTTCAGACCTCCTCCAAGTTAGGAAAAAATTATAAAATCCATATATATATATATATATATATATATATATATATATATATATATATATATATACCTGCTTGTTGGGCTTTTCTTGAAGCCAAATTATAGTTGTGCCCTGTTCTGGATGCAATCACCTCCATCGGCATTAACGATCTCAAAATTAATCTCTTAATCTTTCATTCAAGGAAACCAAATCAGTTTCCAAAACAGTTGACAAAATGGGTTTTCCACCTTACAAAACGTATAATCAACCCTTGCCCTTTGAAGAAGGGTTAGATAAAAATAAAAAGAATCTTTCAATAAATTGATTTGAATGATGTGTCAATTAAGTTTGTGAAAAAGTATCTATAATCAACGGATGGTAAGCTCATTATTGAGACCAAAACTGAAAGTATGCAAATAGAAAATTCAAAAAAAAAAAAACAATGAAATTGAACCTTCTTTTTATATTTCTGAACCAAACAAATTACTCTTGAAAGCTCTACAAATCTTTAAAAGTGATCCCTGTGATTTAATCAATCGAACACTACAACAAAATAAATGAGGGTATTTTAGGAAATTACATGTGGTTCCCAACTGTGATGAATTTACGACACCACAATGACAATGACTTTCAGAAAACTCCCCTAAAACATATTACTCATAAGTAGGAAGCTAAACAGGAAGCCCTAAATCCAATTGCAATTAGTATGACAGCCTCGTAGAAACCAATTAATCGATCACTTGTAGTTGTAGATATTCTGCAACCAAAATAGAAAAAAGTAGATAAATGAGCTAGAATACTATATATAACATATACATGGGAAATAGTTACAATAATATAAGCGTGCAGGAATGTTTCATTAGAGAAGATATAGCAAGGGCATTTTGGGAAATCTAATTTGTGGAGTACTTTCTTGATAAGCTAAAAAAAACTTTAAATCTCGGCCCGGGGTACCTTCACTGACAATGTCTTGGTCCGGTCCGGTAACAAAAATACCCTGAATTGATGAAGTGAAACCACTAAACCTGCAATATTGTAGCATTAATCAAAAATTATATACCAGAAACTACAGACTAATAGACATAAATGATATATGATCAGAATCCACATGAAAAAATGAAAAGCTTAAATGTTGATCTCCATTTATTCGAACATCCAAGCACACACCAATATAAACCATAAATTTTTAATTTTAACAACGATCATAAGCCCAAAAAAGCCTTTAAAATTGCAACAATACACTAAACTTATTATCTTTTGAATATGAATGTCACTTTTATGATGAAGCAACTCCTAATAATCAAACGAAGTCAAAACTAAAATCAGAAAAATAGTTGTTGGTGCTTCAAACGGTTTTCAAAACTAAATACCTGATGATAAATGATTTGGTTTGTTCCTGGGTAAAAGAAGGGAGTTTGATAGTGCAGTAATGACTTCAGATTTGCAATGGAGATATAACTTTTCTAGTAAACACCTCCCACATTGATCCAGTTGTAGTACCTAAATTTAAATATTAAAAAAAATACAATTTTTAGCAAAAATGAATGAATGATGAATACGCTTTTAACAAAGAATTAAATAATCTTACCATGAGTTTACCAATATCAGTTGTTACTATGGTTTTGGATTAGAACCCACAATAACAACAAAAAGAAAGGAACAATCTCTGGTAAGGTAGAACATAATCGATGAAAGGAAAACATTGATTACCAATATTAGAACCGAACTGTTTTATGATTATTATGTTCAACACCCTCAAACCACATACTTTTATCATCACTCCCAACACCATTAATATAGAAGGTAGAACAATGAGGAAGATCAATCTTTAACTCCAACCTAAACTGGTAACCTGTTTCACCAGCAACATATAATTCATAATCTAAAAAATTCAAGAAGCTACAGATCAAAACACAAAACTGATAAAACATCTTGATGTGTTACCAAAAAGGGCTTCCTTTTATCATTCAAAACAATATGTATGTTTCTGTTATGAACACAATGTGTATTTCCCGTTATGAACAGCAGCAATTAGGTAGCAAGTGAACAATTATGACGTATCAGACAACAATTGAACAGATACACTGATACACCAGTGGCAGCAGGCAATTTCAAGGGGAAAAAAGAAAATCGAGAGCAGGCAAAATGGAGTTCAACGAAAACAATAGCAATTGAAGACATACATCTAAAATTAGCAGAAACCATTCAGATTTCGATTTCAACAAACACATATGCTTTCGATTTGAACTGAAATCAGAGGAAAAAGGAAAATAGAGAGCAACAAAATACAGTTTACCTTAAAGCAAGAAAAGATGAAGAAAATCGTACTTGAATCGTATCTGTGATGTGTGACGGTCGCCGGTGTTGTGGGTGCGACTGTATCCGACGATGGATGTCGGCAGCAAGCAATCGATGCACAAGGAATAGGGAATCGCCTGAGGAGGCGACAAGAGAAGAATGGAGGCTGCGCTGTTTCTTTTCCTTCTGAAGCATACGAACGGAAATCACAAATCGATCGAAAATCGAAGTGAAGCAGATAAACATTTGATCGGAGAGCAAAAGTCGCATATTCTGTTACCTAGAAATCACAAATCGATATTGAAAGAAACGGTGTGATGCTGAAATCTTTCGACAAATCTACACGTGTGATGCAAGATCCAAAGCCAAATCTGACAGGGAACCTTCAAAGCAAATACGGCAAAACCGACCATCAATTTCGGCTATACTAAATAATTTATTTCCCTCGATAGTTGACCCTAAATCGATCAACGATGGATGAGTGATCGGTGGTTTGGAGGAGCGTAGGGGATCGGTGGAAGGAAGTGGTAGATCGATTGTAGGATATTTACTCTTTGAAGCCAATTAGTTTAGAGAGAGAGAGGGAGGGTTTTCGAAAAGCGGTGATCGAGGGAAGTATAGGCGATGGTACCTACTGGACTATCGGCTTTAGATAGTCATCTTCCTCCCCCTATCCTTCTTTTTCACTCGCTTACTCTCGTCTTTGAGTCGAGTAGCTTTTCTCGATTGCTCTCAACCGCAAACAGATGCGTAAGAACAGACGAAGACAGAATCGCAGGAAAATTGTATAAAAGAAAGAGAAAGATATTTAGAGAAGGATGGCAGTGAAAGCGGCAATTGGAAGTGAAGAATAGAAGATAACGATAACAAAATTATCAAGGCGGTCAAGTGAAAAGGGGTAAAAGATCGGTTGAAAAATCTAAAAAGCAAGCTTTGTGGCAAATGTTGTAAACGAATGAAAATTTGTGGCACCAAGTTTTTAACAATTAATAGTATACATAATTATAAAATTAATAATAAAAAAAAGTAATAAACACAAGTCTATGTTACAATAATTTAAAAATATTGTTATTTTAAAAATAAATTTTAATCGCATTTGTCTATTTGATAATGCTATCCATTTATAAGGGATAAAACCGGGATACCAGTTTCGTTAAAAAAAAAATTGTAAATTTGTATATATATGCATATATCCGACAAGGCAACACCGCTAACCATGGCTTTTTCTTCTCTCTCCCTTATCCTTTTCTTCTTCATCTTCATATCATTCGCCATCTCCGACGCCGTTGTTCCCCCCGCCGACACTTTTCGGTATGTCAACCAAGGCGATTTTGGAGAACTCGATTCCGAATACGCCCCAACCTATCGTCCTCTTCCTCCATACACCTTTCCTTTCCAGCTGTGTTTCTACAACACCACCCCCGGCGTCTACACTCTCAGTCTCCGCATGGGAACCAGACGTGATGAAGCGGTCATGCCATGGGTGTGGGATGCCAACAGAGGCAACCCAGTTGGCGAAAACGCCACCTTCTCATTAGGCTCCGACGGAAACCTTGTACTCGCCGACGGAGATGGACGGATCGCATGGCAAACCAACACCGCCAACAAGGGTGTCGTCGGTTTTGCCATACTCTCCACTGGTAACATCGTGCTTCGTGACTCCAAGGGTGGTTTCGTCTGGCAAAGCTTTGATTCACCTACTGATACGCTTATGTTTGGTCAATCTCTCCGGATCGGAGGTCCGACGAAGCTCGTCAGCAGAGCTTCAATAACGAACAACGTTAACGGAGTGTATAGTTTCGTGATAGAGCCAAAAAGATTGGGTTTGTATTATAAGAACATGCTTTACTGGGCTTCCACGTTTCCGGCGTTTCCGGAATTGAACCAACCAAATGTGACTATTGTTAATACAACATTCGATATCGTGGAAACCGAATACAATAACGACTTTAACGCACTGAGGTGTCATCTTGCAAACTCTAATGCTCAACCTTTTTTGGACATGGACATACTCCGATTCAATAACACGTTATCCTATATCCGATTAGGCATCGATGGGAACTTACGACTCTACTCTTATCGTCCTCCGAATATCCGTTTTAGCCAATGGAGTCTGGTGTTCAGATTGTTCGATAACAGGGAGACCACGAGGCGGGGTTTATATGAAGACGAGTGCCAACTGCCTGAACGCTGCGGCAAGTTTGGGCTGTGTGAGGACAGCCAGTGTGTTGGGTGTCCGTCGCCGGAGGGTGTTTTTGCGTGGAGCAAAAACTGCAACGTGAAGACGCCGTCTTGTAAAGCGGGTGGTTCTCGTTACTACCAGCTCAAAGGGGTCGACCATTTCACTTCTAAATACTCTCCGGGGACTGGGCCGGTGAAGCAGAAAGATTGCGAGAGTAAATGCACAAAGGACTGTAAGTGTATGGGGTATTTCTATCGCACTGATCTATCGAGGTGTTGGATCGCTTACGAATTGAAAACGTTAACGAGGGTCGGGAACTCGACTCATTTGGCGTACATCAAAACACCTATTCAGTAGTTCGATAGGTCTACTAGGAATGAGGAAATAAGGAAGATGAAGATTTGAAGAAATACCATTGTTTACTTGCTTTTCTGTATTTTTACCTTCCATTGTGTATTTGTATCGAAATCAAAGAGTCTATGTGGTATACTTTTTAAGATGTAAAACGCTTCGGTATGCGTAACACATTTGCAGTAGAATAATGTGTTTCCAGTCTACAAGTGGACGAAATGTTTACAGTTTACAAGAAAAAAGATCGATTATTTATTAAGGCTGCTACTAAATAAACACTCCTTAAACACCCTAATCATTAAGTCAAATTACTTTTAACATTAAATACATTTAACTTTATTGGAGGGCATGTTTTATAAACCTATATATCATACTACTAAAGCCGGACGGAGTGGTAGAGTTTTTTTTTATTTTTTTATTCCAAACGGATATATATATATATATATATATATATATATATATATATATATATATATATATATATATATATATATATATATATATATATCTATATATATATATATATATATATTCTTTCCCTTTTCTTAACCTATAAATACTACAACATTCTATCTTTTTTTTAACCCATAACCTATATTTATCTCCAAAAAATATTATTCAAAATGTCATCATCTTCATCATCCGATTCGACGGCTGTAGAGGAGGCTAAGTTTATCGGTTCCGTCATGGCGAAAACGGTTGCATACTATCAAAACCGACTAGGCGAAACATCACGTGCACGATCTAACCCAAGAAAGCCGCCGTTGCGTAGAAATCACGAAGTCGGACACGATCGCCTTATAGAAGATTATTTTGCAGATGACGCCATCTACGCTGTAAAGTTTCGACGTCGGTACCGGATGAGGAATGAACTATTCTTACGTATTGTTGGCGATTTGGAAGACCGCTTTCCATATTTCCAATGGAAAATGGATCCAAGGCGGAAAAAAGGTTTCTCTCCCATTCAAAAATGCACGGCTGCAATTCGTCAGCTAGCATACGACATGGGCGCAGACAAATGGGACAAGTATTTTAGGATGTCAGAGTGTACCGTGCGGGAGTGTGTGTACAAGTTCTGCAAAGCGATCTGTTTGGTTTATGGGCAACGATATTTGCGCAAACCAACTATCAACGATATCCACCAATTGTACATGGTGCATGACGGCAAGCATGGATTCCCTGGAATGCTAGGTAGTATCGATTGCATGCATTGGAGTTGGTCATTATGCCCCAACGCATGGCGTGGTCAGTACATGAGAGGCGACCACAAAGAGCCGACGATCATTTTAGAGGCTATCGCATCACATGATCTTTGGATATGGCATGCATTCTTTGGTCCAGCTGGTGCAAACAATGACATCAATGTGCTAGACCAGTAGCCGGTATTCAACGATATCTACCTTGGAAAGTCGCACGATGTACATTTTCAAGCAATGGGGTAGCATATAAGCGTGGATACCATCTTACTGACGGTATATATCCTCCCTTGTCTATTTTTGTGAAATCGTTTACATGTCCTAACGATCAGAAAAGTAAAAAGTTTAAAGAGGCGCAAGAGTCAGCTAGGAAGGATGTGGAGCGAACATTTGGTGTACTTAAGAGACGTTGGCAAGTACTAACGGTCGGGGCAAGGTCATATGAGGTGAAAAGGTTACAGCACGTAATGTATGCATGTATCATATTGCATAATATGATTCTTGAAGACGAAGGAAGAGCGATATGCCGGTACAACGAAAATGAAGTTTTGTCAAATGTCGAAGGAGTAGTCGTTGGTACACAAGAGTATAGGGTGAATAGAAGAGAAGTACACAATCGCGACATTCATCACGCCCTTCGTGCTGATTTGGTGGAGCACATTTATAGGGCTCATATTCAGCCCCCGTTAGAGTTTCCTCACGATGATTTGTTTGACGAATCAGACGAGGATTCTGATATGTTCGTCGAGAGTGAAGATTCCGACGACGAGAGTGACGTTGGGGAGAATGATGAAGACGATCAAGGCGATGACGAGGACGATGAGGGCGATGACGAACACGATGATTCCGAGTGACGTATTTTGGTTTATATAAAATTAGGATATTAATTATTTTTCTACTTATTTAAATATTAGGTTTAATGTAATTTTTATTTTAATTGATGAAAAGCTTTTTATTTTTAATTAAATTTTATGTTTAGTATTAATTTAAAAATTATAAATCATAAAAAAATTTAATTTTGTTTAATAAAAAAAAAGTGAGGGAAGGGCTTCCCACCCATTCCTTGGGTTTTAAGTGAGGGAAAGAAAAGTAAGGGAAATGAAGGTATGACCCACAAAAAGTGAGAGAAGCTTCCCTCCCATACCATCAGGTCTAACAAACACTAACTCACCTTTTTCTTTTTCAATATTTATTTGGTATATTGTTTTATTATATTTTTTCTTTTTCATTTTATGTTTTAAAATTATCATTTTTTTTCACATTGTTTCAACAATCAAATTTTTTATAATACTTTACATATATTTCAATAATACATATATTTTTTGTAAAACTATCTTATTCTCCAAAGAAATATAATTTATCTTATTATTATTATTATTATTATTATTATTATTATTATAAAATGATGTTTAGTATACCTTTTATGTAATAAGAAACATATGTTTATATTATATACCTTTAAATAATAATAAAAATAGTTAATAAGCAATAAACAACAATAAATCTCAAATATAATTTTATGATAAGTAAGAATAGAAAGTTTAGAAACAATTTATATAACTACGTATATATGGTTTGTTTTAATAATAAATTTTAATAATAGATTTATTAAAATATAACAATTATATCTTTTGAAATATAAATATTTCTATTTATGATAATATAAAAATAGTTAACAAGCAAAAAAAATAAAAATAAATCTTAAATACAATTATATCATACGTAGGAATAGAAAAATTTTTAAAATGACGTTAATATGAAATTTTTTTAGAATGACGTTAATATGGAAGGATGGTTTGTTTTAATAATAAATTCTAATATTAGATTTACTATCTAGAATATATTAATTATAGCTTTTAAACTATAATATTTACATTTATGATATCGAGGGATATAACTAGATATGAATGAAGATAAATAGACTAATTATTGCTTAATTATTGGGAGGGTTGTTTTTTTTTAGTAGAATGGGGTGTTTATTTAGCATTCCTTGATTAAAGAAAAAAAAGAGATGTTGCCAACAAGACACCCTATTATCACTTTTATAAAAAGTCAACCTATAATTAACTATCTATAATCAGTTTTTTCGGAAAACAATGTAATTTCAACCAATAAAAATATTTCAAAAATTAATTAAGATGTCTATATGGTAAAATGGAGTGTTTTTTTAGCCAATTCCAAAAAAAGAAGCTACTATTTGTATACACCTCCTGGGAATGAAAGACAGAAATCACATCAATCTACGTAGTCTTTCTTTATTTTCCATCTATTATTTATCTTTATTTTTTTTTAATAAACTTCAACAATAAAAAACATATACTAAGTGTAGTTTTCTTTAAATAAAAGAGAATTTTTTTCAACACCAATCTATCTATACACATTTGCACATCAATCTATCTATCTATCTATCAGGCTTTTTAATTACTCCATAATAAACTTTTGACTAATTTTGATTGGGGGCGTCTCGATACATCTTCCGCCTTTTTTTTTAAGATGGCTTCCGTTTTTTTATTTGAAATTGGGGTTGAATTATTGTTGACCACGAAAATGCAAGGTGTTGTTTGTTTTTTTGAGCCAAAATGTCTGCAGTCTGCGAACCACATCTGTAGACCTCTGCAGTAGAAGAGATAGACCAAACATCTGCAGTCTGAAAAAAAAAAGACTGTTTGTCACTAATAAAGTTGGAATAAATATAAATTCAAAAAAACTAAAAATAAAAATTAAAGATATATGTGTTTTTTTATACTAGAAGATGTCTGAAGATGTTAGAAGACTCTTGTCCACATCTGCGCCAAGAAGAGGGCGCGTAGACATTTTTATGTCTGCAATCTTCAAAAAAACAAACAGTCTGTGAATGTTAATGTCTGCACGTGGTTTGCGCCGCGCAGACAGAAGAGGCCAAGAAGATCTGTGGACAAAAAACAAACACCACCCAAGTGGAGTGATATTTCGGTTTTTCTAATTTGAGGTTTACTCCATAAAACTTATCTGCTCTTTTATTTTTATTTTTTTTTCACTTTTTTATTGGTGTATGTTCACAATTTACCCACTTTTCTAATTATTTTTTTAATTATTTTTCATCCTAAACTTAAGCCTAAAGTTAAAAAAAATTATTATTAATTGTTATCTTTTATTATTATTATCTAAAAAAATTCAAATTTTATTATTATTTTATGATATTTAATTAAAATGTTATTAACTTTATTATCATCTGATTTGTATTTCAAGCTTATTTTTCATAAGATAGATAAAACAAAAATAATATATTTTTTATAAAATAATAATTTATATATGATTACAAAAGATATACATTCGCAACCAATTGTTCTAATTTTTTTTCTTAAATTTAAGTTAACCTTTTTTATTTCGGTGATGTTTGGGTCAATTCTGCAGTCACGTATTTAGCGACACTATTCTTTTTAGGTTTTTTTTTTTTTTTTTTTCTTTTTTTTTTCTTTTTTTTTTAATATGATTTTAAATAGAATATAACCAAAATATGGTATATTTTGATTTAAAATACCTAGTATGTTGTTTATCATTATTTCATATATTAAAATTTATAATTTTTATATTAACTAATAATATGTACTACTAAATTTATAGGCCCCGAATGAATTTATTTTGTTTACATGATATGTTGTTTTCGTTATTTGAAATATTATAATTTAGAATTTTTTTATTAATTAATAATATATATCATATACGTAAATTCTATTATTGAAAATAAGAAAAAAAAACTTTGAAAAAGAAAGAAAAAATAACTTTGAAGTTGTTACAAATTTCAGGGAAAGAAAAAATATAAATAACTTT